GATTATAAGCAAAAATGGATAGTGGCTAGTAGTGGAATCCAGGATGCACGAGTCCCTGAGTGAACATCAACGAGTCTGAGATGCAGGTACACCCAGCTGACGAGTCACAAATAGGACGAAATGTGCGTCAAACTGGATTACACTGCTAGCCACTATCCATCTCTGCTTATAATGTTTGTAAGTTAAGGCTATATCAAGGTAATACGCAAAGTATGCACATATGCCAATAAGAGACTGATGTTTTTTTCTCAGGGTTATAATAGTAATGATAACAAACTTCTGTTAGACATGGAGACAATGAGGTAAAATAAACAAAGGTATTAAAAAACATTTTTTAAACAAGGAAAACTTAATAATCGTTCGATAATAATAATCACCTGCTCACTAGTGACTGACTTCAGGAGACACTTCTGGAGTTCTAGTGAGAAGTCGTTACCAGTAGAGTTCAACCAGGTCTGTTGTGAGATAGGAACTCACTGAAGACAGTGGTGTACGGTAGCGCAACTTCGTGGATTGGTTGAAGTTAGACATTAACACCGTTGGATTCCGGCTCAGTGGTCTAGTGGTTTAGTGATCACGCGCGAAGCCAGCGGGTCCTGGGTTCGAGCCCCGAGTGGTGCGGGGTCGTGGATGCGCACTGCTGAGGAGTCCCATACTAGGACGAAACGGCCGTCCAGTGCTTCCAGGTTTTCAATGGTGATCTAGCTTCAACTGACTCATGGTTTCAATCTGTGAAAATCGTTTGATTGTTAATGGCTTAAATATCCATTAAAAAATGGATAGGGAAATTATCATTGGGAAATGATGGCTTAGCATGATAAGATAAATTGTAATGAGGATCATCGTAGAAACAGAAATAAACCAGTTGGGGGTAGAAGATTTAAGAGGGAAGATGGAAGGTGAAGCAGATGGTTGTAAAGGAGGGAGAGTATGAAGGAAGGAAGAATAAAGAAAAATTCTAAGACATTGAGACCATGGTAGAACAAGAGGTTGTACCAATTTCTTTTGCACACACAATTCTGGTTTTTCCACATGTATGGTTATTGGTTCGGCAATGCAAAGAAGATGCAATCTAATTGTCTTTGGAAAACTCCTACTTACCTTGTAGATGACTTTGAACGTAGAGTCTAACTTGATTGAGTGACCTGTGTTCACAAGGTGTTCGATTATTGGACTTCTTATTGAACCGTTTCTTCCTCTTCTTAGCCACGCTGGATAATGTTCTTGAATTCTTTTGAATAAATTATGCATCGAATTACCTATATACCTAACTCCACATGAGCAAGTAAATTGATAAAAGCACATTGAGTTGGTCAGATGCGATAATTTATCATTAAAATTATTAGTGAACAATCATCGGCTGGAGAATACTATTCCCAACGTTGCTGCGAAGAATGTTCTTTTTAAAGAATCGGAAATTCTCCTGTTTATGATGTATGTGGCCCTGTCACCCTTAAAAGTCGATGTTCATGTATAATGTTTTCTTTTCTGCTGAAATGATTTGTGTTTTAGGCGATTTCGATTTTATGTTTTATAAATGAATACGGAAAGATATTCGTTTCTGATAAGTATCTCCTTCAAAAAGTTCAGTTCTTCATCTATCACCTCGGGACTACAACTTCTTCATATTTTTGTAGTGAGGGATATTATTAAGTTTCTTTTTCGACTAATGGGGACCGAGTTGTGGAACCCTGATAGTTGACCATTCCACATGGGTTTCCTGTAGATGGATCTTCTTAGAGTTCCATTTTGTTTTCTTGTCACTTTCATATCAAGAAAGTGAATATTTTGTTTGCTTACAAATTCAAGTGTGAATTTTTTTACTGGGTGACAATTATTAAATGTATTTAGGAGATTAATTAAGTCACATTTGTTGTCACAAATGATAAAGATGTCATCTACGTACCTTTTGTACAAGTGGAAATTTCCTATAATCGTTTTAAGTTGTTTGTTTTCTAAACTGTCCATGAAGCAATGGACCAAGTGAGGATCCCATTGTTATGCCATCGTTCTGTCTATGAATTACGTCGTTGAATGTAAATCGTACATTGCAAGTGCAATGTAGTAGTAGTTCCTTTAAATACGTTTTTGGTATTCCGATGTTAGTCTCATTATTATTTATGTACTTGCAGATAAAACTAATGGTCTCTATGAGTGGGACATTAGTTAGTAATGATTCGGCGTCCAGAGATAGCACAATTTTGTCACTTACATTCACTTCTTTTATGTGTTTGATAAATTCAAGATAATCATGTAACGAATATCTACAAATGAGTTTTCTAACGGGTTCTGGGAAATCTACCAGCCACTTTTCTATAAAAAGGTAAGGGTATCGGGACATATCAATAATTGGTCTGAGATGTAGGCCAAGTTTGTGTACATTCGGCAGATCATATCATCGCGGTATTATTAATCCTGTTGGTGTTATGCACTCAAAGACATGTTCGTCGATTGATTGGTCATTTTTCATTCTCTTAAGAACTTCAATCAGTTACTTTTCTATAATTTCTGTCTTATTTTTCTCATTGATTAGTTTTCGAATTTGGTGTCCTCTAATAATAACATTGTCATTTTTCCGACATAAATCTTGCGGTCTAGCAGCAGTAAACCCGCACCTTTATCTGAACGTGTTACAATTATGTCTTAATTGTTTCTAAGTAGTTTTAATTGATTTCTATGTTCTTTCGTTAGAAAACGTTTACCTAATACTATAATGCTAATATACTGATTGCAGTTATCGAGGACAGTAGATTCGAAACGTTAGAATTCTTGGTCAGAGACTGGATTAAGACCATTTGTTTGTTTGATAACACAATACAGTTTCATACAACGTAATTCAGATTCGAATTCTAGCTTGCGTCTTGCCAAACCGATACTATCCCTAAATCCTATAATCGTAAAACATGCCTTAACCTGGTGGTAATATATTTTGTAAACGAACTGATGACATAACGCCTCTTGCTTTTTTGTGCTGAATTCATTCATCCATTTGACCAAAGAACATTTTGACATGATTGGCTAGTTTCATTTCGTGATGCAAATCTTAAACCTAAATCCTTGATCTTTACCTTTAGACATTTAACTTTAACCAAGAGCAATGTGTGCATTAGGGACAAGTTATTTAGGTCTTTTTAATGGTTGAAGGAAATCTATATCCAAAAGGACAAGTTTTTATTTCGTTGTTTTTTCAATTCAATGGAAGATTAACCCGTGAAACGCTGTAAAAGATTCAATACTTATCCAAAAATCCATCTGAACTTTGTGATACTATTGTTTTCCTTTCTATCAATTATTCATTTATAAGAGCTATTTTTTGATTGGCTACAAATTAGGTGAAAATTAGTTGTTCTGAGTTCGTCCCTATACTACACCCGCCACTTTTATTCAGAGATCCTTGTCCTAAGCTTAATCTTCGTTTTCAACAATAAAGGTAAATTCTCGCCATCAGTATACTAACGAAACTGAATGATGTTAAAATGATCTTGAAATATTTACTCTCCTAATTAGCACGGAGCACACAGATCATCGCCGAAATCAAAGAACTAGACCAAGTAATATGATGGACTAACATAGACATTCCCTGAAATGAAATTCCTGAAGCGTTCAGTTATTAACGACATAATCCATTTTAGAGTTTACTTTGAACAAAGGAGAAACGAGTGTATTCTTATTCGATTATGTATCCTATAGAATTTCAATCCGCAGGACTAAATATTTCGTGATCGATTGCACATATACAATTTATATAACTTTCTTCCTTGATAACAAGAATAAATTTACAGTTGTAGATCATCCGCGTTTATGACCTATGTAGCATGATTGTGGGAGCCTAATCGAGTTAGATGGGAATGGTATAACCAAAAGCTAACGTCGAAATCACATCATGCGGTCAGCACCTAACGGCGATTACTCCTTCGTCGTATCAAGATACTATGGATGGTTTGAAAACCGTGCAACACAAAGGACGTTATTACGGAAATATATCAGTAAGAATGAGTACAGAGAAGATAATGAGACCACCGCATGGGCCAGTCCATGGCATACAATTAACTGATTCGCGTTGGTTGTCGTTGACTTTGACAAGGATCGATAATCTGTTCGATATTCAGTGACCCAACTGCTAGATAATTTGGCTCAGTGACATTTCACTGGCCCTACATAGTGATGAGATTTCAGTGAACGCGGCCATTTATGTTCATGGTTATTTTGAATAATTATTAAAACTGAAGTACTATAGGAAACAAACAAAGTATTAATTTGAAGATATACTGAAGACGAGTTTCGATTAGTGCGCACCCTCAGTTATAACAGGATTGAAACTATATTCTTACAATGTTACTTATATTCACTAATGAATCATTGAAGAGCAGCCAACGTTAGATCTTATTGCTGATTAAACTTTCTCCATTAAAGTGTTATTTATACGCAAACGTTTAACAGAAGGTACAATAAATACTCTATCAGATTATCCATATTCATTTACTTCGTACTAAAAATCTTAAATAAATTCCTATAAATATCATGAAAACAAGAACGAATAATCACAAACTTTTTAAGCAAAGATGGATAGTAGCTAACAGTGGAATCCAGGACGCGCGTTTCGTTAGATTTGGGACCCGTCGGCTGGATGTTCACTCCAAGACTCGAACCCAGTACCGTTCGCCTCAGACCCCAGTAGCTAAGTGGATAACGAGATGTACATTCAGCTGACGAGTCACACATAGGACGAATTTTCGCGCGTCCTGAATTCCACCACTAGCCATTATCTAGCTTAAAAAAGCTCATGACTTAAGTCAATATTGAGGTCGTCCGTACAGGATGCACATATGCCAACATGAAACCGATCAATTGTAGTTCTAAACATCGATGGGAAGATACAATTAAAACAACACCAAGAACAAATAATGATGGTAATTTTATTAAACAATTTACAGGAAAAAAATCAATAATAGTTGTTTTTTGGTTTTTATTCATCTATTACATCATCATCATCGTCGTCGTCAACTATCTAGATTGTAATCAAATTCACTATAATAAATTTCATCTTCATAATCAAGACAAAAATAAGATGGATTGAGTTCGAATTGTTCTAATGCATTAGTGATATCATCTATCATTGATGGAATAGTTTCAATTTGATGTAATGCATTTTCATTTGGTTTATGTTTCATCATATTGTATTGTTTACTATGCATGACACCATTCAACTGAAATTCAATAGAGATCATAAATAATGAGTACAGAGTGTACATCTGAAATTCAGTAAAACTGAAATGAGAATGAAAAAGTATTTATTCAATCAAATGGACAAGTATATTGGGATAGTGGAGAAGATTTGTAGCTCAGATAGATGATTTTGATGGAGTTTTATTCTTTGGACTGAATGGTTTGGTCATGAAACTTTCATTGTTCTTCTGAACGACATCATCAACACAAACGTCAGGTAGAAGTTTGGTACCATGGTTTGTCTTATTTCCTGTTGCGTTTCTTCACCTATTCTGGCAGTTTTTTTAGTGATAACTCTAGTGGGTGGTTCTGAGATCTTGATAAGTTTCTTCTTTGTTCTCTGTGTAGTTTGCATGGTACCTTGATGGCTGTTGTCAAGATTTCCAAATGTTCTGACCTGAGTATCCTTTATAGCTTGCTCTTTTGGTCCTCTATGATATGTTGGTATTTGTGCATCCTGTGATGTGCATCAGTTATCATTAGGTGTACCGTTTTTCTTCCACTTTGCTCAGCTATTCTCCATCCCATCGGGCAGTGGATTAGAGGTCTGTATCTCACACTTGTTGGCAGAACATGCTGACGAAGACACTCGTGGAGAAAATACAGTTGTTCTCGATTGGAAGCCTGCCTTTTAGCGAAATTCCCTCATTTTCGAACAACGAGAAGCGTACTACACTCAAATGATTTTGAGATGGTAGAGAAGATTAGTAGCGCAGGTAGATGATTTTCATGGAGTTTTATTTTCTAAGCTGGATGGTTTGATCGTGGAGCTTTTATTGTTCATTTGAAGTTTGTGCTGATGATGTCGTTCAGAAGAACAATGAAAGCTCCACGACTTAAACCATTCAGTACAAGTATATTTCTCAAATGATTTCTGTCTGATCAAATATTTATATACTTATAAGGCAGTTACAAATCTCGATAATCTAATAAGACGAAATTTATCAGAATTATGTGATATATCTATCTGCACAATACATTTCGAACAATCTGATCACACATAATATACTTGTTAAGACATTTTTATATGAAAAATAAAAGGTCAACTAGACAGACTAAAGGTAAGCCGTAACAAAGTAAAATAAAGTACACCACTCTGGATAATAAATCCGTATTACCAGGGTAGATTAAGTATAAGGACAAATTGTTTTTGAACACATAAAGGGCGTTTCGATTTCCGTATAGCCAAGGCTTCAATAAACCTTAATATTGGTACTTGAAAGCTTTTGTATAACACTACAAATGCTGATTTGATGTCAACCTTATGATCAATGTCAATCAAATGTTCAGCAATGGATGATGATGTCTGTCTATCCTGTAATCTTATTTGACCATTGGAATTCATTTGTATCTTTACCCTGTCTAGTTGACCTTTCATTTTTCATAGAAAAATGTCTTAACTAGTATAACATGTATGATCCGATTGTTCGAAATGTATCGCGCAGATATAGCATTACATAATTCTGATAAACTTGGTCTTCTCATTCCATTATCGAAATTTATCAAAGGGACTAATTGTTTTAAATTAACAAATCTGTTCTTCATGGAATTTAATAAACTTCTAGTGAATTGAACAAGCAACTCCGCCTGCAGTCCCTCCGTGGGCTACTGCTGGTCCCGAACCCAGATAAAGGAGGAGGGTTGGGCATGGGGTGAGTGACCCTATCCCGTACAAAACCAACTCCCTACAAAAAACGCTAACCAGAAAAAATTATTCAAAAAAATTAAGTTGGACAAGCTGCATGTTTAGAATTAATTTTCTCGACGAAATAACATACTTTGACCCCTAACTGGATGCAATGAGCTTTTGTGTTTAGATGGTGCGCTTATGAATACAACAATATCCGAATATAACACTAAATAAACTTCAGTTGGTCAATCTGCGATTTTTAGATCTCATGTCTATCAACACTGTTTATCATGATCCACTCTGACATTCTAATATAGGTTTGCTACGAATATTGGTTTACTTATATAAACGCATAAACATAGGCACAAGAAGGAACCAACACCAGCAGGATTTCCACTGGCTTGTATACTGAGCCACGTCTGGAAAACTGTCAAACCACCGTGCTGCACTATCATAAGGACGTCAATCAGGTAATCATGAAGAACCAGCCAATTCCAGTTTTGTACAACTTACTTTCATACTGCATCACGATCCCATGCACTAAAAACCTCTCTACCTTCTTCAACTAGTCCCGCGTCGCAAAATAATGCACGATTTCAAAATGACTTGGACGACATTCAAAGGATATGCCCAAGTCACCATATTTAGTGTTCCGATCGAATTTTTGTCGCTGCACCCGAACACGTGTTACCGGACTTTTGCTTTACAGTTATGGTACTGCCACTGAATGTAAGAAGTCCGTCCGAAACAACAGTGATTAAACACAGAGTCGTTTAACATCTTCAGCTCAGAGAGGGGAGGTTTCACATACATGGAGTAAACACTACACCTCCCCGACGCATCATAAATCTTAACTTTAACATTTAGACTAACATCACGAAGGCATCAAAGATGGCCCAGATTGGCATAAGCCGTAAGGCATTGTTTCTCACACCGATTTCTTCTCATTTCGATGGAGTTTTCTTATCTAACAGCATATAATCGGCTGTTAATGTGGATCTAATCAATTAGTGCTATCTCAACTTTGGCTCGTAGTGCGACACCAACGCCAGCAGAATTAGACGGTCCCCAAGTGCCCTGGTACTTCAATAAGTTATAACCAATGTGTGGTGAGTATGGAATTCGTTGCATACATGTACAGAGATAGAATGATGAGTTAAATCGGAAAAAACATATACGTTGTGGTAGTGTAGAGACGAATAGGATATGTAGATGAAGTTTACAAGAAGATTTTCATAATATGGAAGCTTCAGAAGAACTATCCTCTTTCCAGAACATTGTCTTCAGTTAATTAAGTCAATGTCATATAAAAAACATAATCAGAAATATGATAATATGGCACTGTAAACAAAATCTTACCATTGAATTATTATTTGCATAAATCTCAAATTGTTGGTTACACTCTCGTTGAGTATCATGTTTATTGATTTCTTTGGTTGATATCATTGTAAACACCTCGAGAAGAAAAAGATAAACAAAATGATACATATCACAACACTAAATTGATTTGAATAGAGATGAACTATAAAACAGAACGGATCTGTTATCCATTACCGCTGCTAAGCGTTTTAGAATAATATGTATTGCTTCTATTCAGAATTGGATTGAATGAGTCTCTTTGATAGATGCCTTGATATTGTAGCCCTCTATATATCAACAATGTGTTAATAAAAATCTTCTACAAATTACATCATAACCATTGGACAAACTGATGGATGTATGAACTCAGTAATTTAAAGAATAACACGTCAATATTTGAAATGATTGAGAATGATGCATATGATTCCACCTAATCAACGTATCCCGAACTCACAATTTTGGGGAAGCCGCTATAGTAAACTTTGGGGAAATGGCACCAAAACCCTGAAATTTCCGCAGACCTGAGGAAATTCCCCAATATTTCCCCAAACTTGGGAGATTCGGATTGTTTATACACTGTGAATATCTACTTTTTTTCCTAAAAGTATAGTTCCCTTTTTAAAAAGGATGAGCGACGCCTTCAGAATGTTTACCTACTTACTGGGGGTAAATGAGAGTTATGAACATGTGTGAAAAATAAGGATCATGATTTCTAGTTGATGGTTAGGGTTAAGAATTAGATTTATGTGGGGGTTGGGGGTCACGCACGAACTAACATTAGCTAACCTAACCCTAACGTTCATTGACCAAATAGATGAATGAATTTCACTCTAGAATTCAAGACCAATTATCCTAAATGTGATCGGTTTGTTCATAAATCATAGTTTAGCTTCAAAAAGATTACTCAGTAACTGAACACTGATTCACTCAACACTATTTTTGATTATCGCCACATTTCTAAAGTTAATAAACTGAATGTAATGAATTCCAACGGAAAATCTTTTACTACTTTTATTAATGTGACAGGGTTTCATTTGAGAGATCAACTAATATCTCTACAAGACATCACATGAGAAGTAGGACCTATCACTAGTAAACTAGAAACTTAATGTATATCTAATGTGCCCCGTTGATTTGACTCCAATTTAGATGAACGTATGAATATGCCATGAACATAAATCTGGCTTTCAACTATGTATATTACCTAGGCTAACCCTGTGCATGTGATGGCCGTGGGTTACATTAGAGGAGTTTATCTCAAGTACTTGTTAGTCTAGACAGACATTCAGAATAAGAAATGGGAAAGTGAAGTGGAGAGGAGTAGGTGAGTGACACAACTCGATTTGATTAAGTATTTTACAATACTTATAGTCAGACAAAACTGAACTACAGACACATAATCAATAGAGTAAGCAATTAACACAGTTACGCTCATATAAAAATAGTCAAGGAATTAAATGTCTAGTGTGCTGAACAAGGAAATATTCCTTAGACTTACAGAATTACAGATCACCAGGGCAACTCAACCAAATTAAATCCCTTTCCTTGTGCCAATTAACGACACCAACTGTGTCCAATCGAATTCACTAGATAACCACCAATCAGCATGTTGCACTGCCAATAGCTCACTTTCAAACAGTTGGTCAGCTGACAATATGCATCATTCTGATTGGCTTCATGGAGAGAAGGTCATTCGAGATATTTGAGCTGAAAAACATTAATTATAGAAGGTGGTAATTGAATAGTTACTCGGAGGTGGATAAGCAGTCTAAACTGTAGCATATGAATGAGCCAAATAATTTCAAAAAATGACCGGATAGTTTCAAAGCCATTTATTGACTGATGAACAGAATTACTGATATCTGATGGAGTTGAGTGGTTTTGAGAAAGCTTATTAATTTTCTACGACTTATTATCGGTTTACTTATCTCTACACAAAACTTTATTTATTATCTGAGTGTTCATATATTCACAATAAAGAGTTCGTTTCTAGATCATTATCATATCCATAAAGTATTTTAACAGGGAAATCAACACCGGCTACAATATCTTAAGCAGTAAGTTTACTGAAGTGTTACGGATATGAAGCTGTAAGGCAAGATCTTTATCCCCATATCCATAAGAAAAGTCATGAGTGTAAGTCTTTATATGTATATTTAACAGTTACGAGCTCACCTATTTTGGTGGAGTTTTGTTCTCTGAGCTGCATGGTTTGGTCGTGACCATACCATCCAACCAAAATCATCCACCTGAGCTACAAATTATCTCCACCATCTCGAGCTCACTTATTATTCATTGAACCACTAAAGATGAAGTTCATCGAAGTAATCTCTTATCAAGGAATTCAATATCAACCTGTACAATCGTATCTATATATATGAAAGTATTAATTCCTTAAGGAAATGTGACACAAGGAATAACCAAGATGATGTGATAGAATGATTATAATACTATTAGATTATGTAATACGAATTATAACAATAACTAATAGACTTAATGAGTTAGTAACGAATTATCACATGTGAATGTATTAAGATGATTAAAATGGTTTTGTCTCATTAACTAGTGGGAATGAAAGGTCATACTGATGATATCATGAGCAATTATAAATAATGAAAATATGAGACATAAGTACGTCTTATCGTTATTATTACTTTGACCTTTATTATAATTATGATTATTGTATTTGTTGTTTTACTTAATGTTTCATATTCTCATTATTTCCATCACTATGACCTTTAAATAGTGTTACAAAGACATTTTAGATTGAGATCATGAACTGATTGATATTAGACCACCATTGAAAACCTGGAAGCAATGGACGTTTGTTTCATCCTATTAAGGGACTCCTCAGCAGTGTGCATCAACTTAAACATCCCCATCATATTAAGAGACTAAATGTTTGAACGAAGAATATTCTTTCGACAAATTATCTTCAAGTTCTAAAACGCATGTATCCACTTAGCTACTGAGTCCTGATAGCCACCTGCATATACAATGCGGTGAAGTTAAAATCCAGTTGGTATTGTTTGTTTGAATATTCCCATTGATGTTTACGACTGCATTCGATCAGGACTCAGTAGCTAAGTGGATAACGCGATCGCGTTGGTAGCGAACAGTACTGAGTTCGAGTCCCAGAGTGGACATCAACTCTGGGATGCAGGCACGTCCAGATGACGAGTTTCAAATAGGAGGAAACGCGCGTTCTGGATTCTACTACTAGCCACTACCCATCTTCGCATATAACTGATTATAGTTTAAAATTACTAAACACTAATTTAAAAAATCAATAATAATCAAATAAAAGTGAAGTTGCTAACTTATTAAGTCTACTGATACTATTCGTATTACGTAACCTAGTATCATAATCTTTCTCTCACATCATCTTGGTTATCCCTTGTTCACATGTCTTGATGGAACTATTACTTTCATATATATACGATTGTACAGGTTGATAATAAATTCATTGATAAGAGATCTCTTCGTTGAAATTCGTGTTTTTAAAAGTATAATATACTGATAACATTAGGGGGATTATCAGTCAATCGGGAAACGCTGTGTAGTTACAAATTAATTAACAATAAAAAGCGATGAAATGACAGTGGAAATAAAGAGTTCATTTGAATAATTAACTCCCACATGCCAAATTATGCATTGTAATATAGAAGAAATGTTAAGTGTGCACATTAAAAGTCATGATAGTACACTGAATTGGAGTTTTCGTCCCCAAATTACATTGGTTATAATGTAAAATTACCAGGATTAGATAACAAGAGCAAAGCGGGAGATTCGATATGAAGGTATCATGGGACGACATGGACTAGGAGAGGGAAACGAAAATGGGGAGAGATTCGAGAACATATATGCATTCAACAACTTGGTTACATGCGGCACAATATTCACCCACAAATGCACACACAGACATACCCATAGATGTCACTCCACCAACGGCCGAACAAACCAGGGTGGTCATCAGGCAAATGAACAGTGGGGAAGCAGTAAGATCTAACAATAGACCAACTGAAGCACTAAAGTCACTCATAGAAGCAAATGCTAACATGTTCTATACTCTATTCAGCAAGATTTCGGATGGAGCACAAGTGCCACTGACAAAATGGAAAGAAGAATATCTCATCGAGATACAGAAGAAAGATGATCTGTGCAAACGTGTGAACTATAGAGGAATCAACAGTGTTACTGAACGGGATGAAGGACTCTACAGACAAACAATTTCGAGATCAACTGTTTGGACTCTGTAAGGATCGGTCGTGCATAGACGAAAAGCTATACTACGGATCATCATTGAGCAAAACATCGGATGAAATTCGTCACTATACATCAACTTCCTCGAATGTGAGAAAGCATTTGACAGTATAGAAAGAAGAAACTCATGGAACAATGTTCGACATCATGGAGTACCCAAGAAAAACATCAACGTCATACAGCATTCTTACCACAGATTACACTGTGACGTCATGCATAAAGGGCAACTGACATGTGCATAACAAGTAAAGAGTGGTGTCAGACAAGCCTGCTTTCTATCAAAACAACCCTCAGCCAACAATCAAGTCACAGTTTTCAACACAAACATCAAAACAGTTCTATTGTATGGATCTGAAATTGCACAACTACCACATCCATCATCAGAAAGATACAGGTATTGATAGACATATTTCTACACAACATATTCCAGATCCGTTCACTGGATACCATCACCAATAACCTATTGTGGGAGAGAACAAACTCGATCTCCACCTGAAGTAGAAATCGGGAAAAGATATTGGAGGTGAATAGGACACATATTGAGGAAATCATCAAACTGCATCACGAGTCAAGCACTAACTTGAAATGCTGAAGGGAAACGGAAAAGAGAAAAACTAAAGAACACACTACGTTGAGGATTGGAAAGACATCAGAATGATGAATAGCAAATGGACACAAGTGAAGAGGATTCTCCAAAACAGAGTTTGATGAAGAATGCTGATTGGCGACCCATTCTCCTCCACGAGGGTTAGCAGGCCTAATGCAGTAAGTCATTTAAGTTAAGTGCATCCTTAATTCACTTATGTACTACGCAAAAATGAGCACTTAACAATTTTAACACTGATTTTTGAATACAACCGAAATTCTCGCTTAGATATCATGAAGCAAAAGAATAGAACTATGAAATAACTTTCTTCTCATTACCTTAATCACTTAGATAGTTTAACTTAGAAATCCAATAACGGTATCTCAATCTCATATACATCACTGAATTACAAATGAATCAATAATTCTAATAACAAGTCTTCTCGTTATATTGATTTTCAAATGAGATGTATTGAAATCGTTACCCATATAACAACACTTCCATTTAGTCAACTCAACTTTTATTCAGTGAATCACCGACAATGTGATTTCTTCACAAATTTGTTACAAACAAAGTCATTTGGTTAAAGTAACATATTGCTTATTGTGTTATATAAAACTTACATTTAAAACTATATGAACATTCGACATTGTCGTCTACAAACAAACCGAAATTCAAACAAAGTACGTTAAGAAATGAATAAATAAATAGTTGCTTTCATCATAACTCTTAATAGTAATTTCAATGGTTAAGATCATGAGTCAATTGAAGCTAGACCATCATGCGAAACCTGGAAGCACCGGGTAGCCGTTTCGTCCTATTGTGGAACTCCTCAGCTGTACGCATCCACGACCCTGCCTCGAGAAATCCGTACACCAGAACATGCTCGTCTCGCATGCGAGCGCTTAACCACTAGACTATATCTACACATATTTATGTAGAGCCATGATGGGAAACCAATTGAAAAGAAATGATTCTTCACCCCATTCGTCATCTTCTCACTATAAGTTTTATTCTAGAAAAGATTAATCTTCTAATAATTTTAAACATTCACAACATCATCATACAACGATATTCCTGATGATGAGTCATTCATTATGGAATTTCGTGTAAAAACTCAAAATTACTATCCGCAATTCTGACAGACTTATTACTCACTTTTAAAGAATTTGTAAATGATCATTTGATTTGTGTGGTGGCTGTGATACTGTAGTGAAGGAGAACACATGTGAGGACAACCGAATATATACCATACTAAAATTAGATTAGTCTTGCTATTATCATCCCACTCACCACTTCACATCAGTGACTAACTATTTGTTTAAACCTCATGATTGATTTGATTTGCTATGTCATACACTGTCCCAGTTGATTTAAGCAACTTGAATGTGGTGTGCACAATTACACTTACACAACAGTATGGATAAACCAACGCAAACAATCAAATGTAATGACAGATTTAAAGTAACAGTGAGTTTACCATTAATTAGGTTTTCAGAAACTCGAATCGATAATACTGAAATCATCTGAATTTTAGTTCACTTATATGGAAGGTGCTTGTAACAATTACCTATATGTTAACAAATCCACAGTGAAAACATATAGCAACATCACTGATGAAAAAGCAAAGTTTATGAATAAGAGGAATAATATTGCAATTTGTTAATAACAAAATTTTCATCTTGAGTTGTCAATGAACAAACAAAATATCTAACGATTAAGTGAATATCGGAAAATAAACTCCGAAATATTCCAACCGACACCATATTCATTCCAACATTCTCTCAAAAGTTCTTCATTTTGTGGAATATTTTCTGCAATCTTGCATCTACTTCTAAGTACATCCAATAAATGACTTCCACTTGGCATATACAACTCTGTATAAATCGTCTCCAGTATCTTCTTCCAGTTCTTACTATAATCAACATAGTGTTGTTCTCGAGTTCTGCCACTCATCTTCAACTGCGGATAATCAAACAGTTCACTATTCGGCTCAAAAACACTCAAATAGGTGACCAATCGACCAAATATACTGCTCATCTTGTCACTGACTGACGGCCGAGAAGATTTCGTCAAATACTCACAGTCAGTGTGATAATAAAATGGATCACTGGATATTTGACGGTACAGCTTCCGCAACTCAATCAATTCATTCAAATCTTCGAAAAACACTATACACACAGATCGCACCATTCGACTGGCAATCTCATGTGCGATTCGTGTACGGATAAACCTAGCTGTCAAGTCTTCGAAACACTGACTGATATCTAGTTTCAGAGGACGCACTAAACCAACATTATTTATAGGTCTGATTGTGTGTTCCAAATCACGATGCTTCGTCGCCATGTGAAACACATACAGATTTGAGACCCAACTACCAGTGATACGCATCGCTTCAATTTTATCATGTTCGTCTGTTAACCCATACCTATCCATTAGATCACTTCTCAGTATCGCACTTGCATAACTGTCTCTCAACAAACCACACGGTGCGAATCTGTTCTCCTGAAAATAATTAACAACAGCAGCAATCATCACTCGAATACATGCATCTGTCATTTCAACATCGATCACATCCATCAATTCACAACTTCTGGCAACATTGTCAACGGTCCAACGGCCATAGTACCAGGCACCATCTTGACGATGCTCCACTACTCTATCAGGTGTGGAGACATGTTCGACAGGTGTTTCTCCATCAGAAGCAGATCGTTCATTTGAATCCGACGACTCGGGCACTTCTGCAAGCAGTCCAGCGAGAATCGCAGCACTGGCAGCATTCGCCAGCCATTTTCGAAGGGGTTTGGAAACCGATTCACCAACATTTTTGTAGACGTATGCAGAGGCCGTTGCGGCAAACTTCACCCAGTCATTCTTAACAGGTATGGAATCGTCCGTGTTAGATTCAGGCATCATATTCTTGTCAAGCATCAGCATGAACCGAGTGTCGAGATCAGATGAAACAGTGAGAGACAACTCGAAATCGAAATCGCCATCTACATTTCGTAAACGATCGGACAGAATGTACCCTAAATCATCAACCAAATTTGTTAGTGAGTTCTTCAAATCTTCATTTTTCTCAGCCATAATCTACAAAGGAAGTTCGAAATTGAGATTATAAGGGTGTGTTTATTCCTATATTTGGATTGATAAGGTTTGTAGAAATTTCCAATGGTTTATTACAAGATACCAAAGAATGGTGACTACCCAAACTATATTAATTACTGATCCAACTAACAATTCGTTTAAAATGAATGTTAGGAATCTTCATTTAGTGAATTACTTTCTAATATTCATCACTAAATCCATCCTCAAAGCAGGAACACAAGTACATGGGGAACTGTTATGTTCTTTATCATCTGAGTACCAAATATAGCATGAGAATTTCATCTATGATGCAGGCATATGTTGTGATTACAATTCCATATCAAACGTCAAGACGAAAACACGATTAATGAGAATTGTCCCTTCTCATTCTATAAATCAACACTATAATCAGTCGTTGATAAATGACTGTAAACAATTGGGACTGATCTTATGCAGATATGTGACATTTTACGGTATACTCAACATTAATTTAAGCACATAGATTAGGTCACAAGAAAAACGTGATCCTGTGAAGAAATCCTTCACAACCAACTCATTTTTATAACTTGACAATACCGTGTATATGTGTAGTGAACCTCAAACTTATAAACAATTTAAATATTATTTTACTAAAGCTTATGACTAAATGACATTGTCCTATCGCTCCATACACGACGTACATATATCAACAGACATTGACTGACTAACAACAACGACATAAAGTCACACTTCAAATTTCATAAAATAGGAAACCTGCCTTTCACTAAATATCCCAATCAAAATTTGTAGGTACTTTAAAATAATAACCTGAGTAGAGGTCATAAACTGGTCACATATTTCTAGTTAAATATTCAGATCAGGTAATTCAGTAGATATAAGAGATGAGTAAGCACTGAGAAAGTTGAGATAGCGGAAATGCCACTAATGAAAAAGTCTGAACAAATGGTATTTACTGGAAATCACCATCAAGCCATAACTTAAAAACCAATCCGACGACACGGAAAAAGGAGCGGATGAAAAAGAAGACATTTCGACGCTTTGCCTCACTGTTTCTCCCTCAATGTTTAACGAAACATCCCCTTCGTTCCTCTGTCGTTGATTGCTTTGGGCACTGTACATGATTCGACATAATCCACTCCTGACTTGTCATTTCCTCATACATACTTTATTGTAGTTTTGTTGTTAAAAAAATAGTTTTATTCACAGCTCTGCAGTCTCAGACTACGTAGGGCTCCTTCCAGCACATTTACTATTTGCTGACCCGCATTAAGTAAGACAGACTCACGTTAGTAACGTCACATGTAACCTTTTTTAATATTGCTACATACCAACGACCTTCGGAAAATGATAGGTGGCCTTTAGATTAGCTGATTAAAATTCAGCCATCAGATTTCAGATTTGTGTAGTAAATACAAAAAGCCTACGACTTGTGTTGCTCGTTTCGTTGTTTACTTCTGTAAGAGTCTAGTCTTCCTTTGAATGAATCAACTAAAGGTGTGGACATCACTGCTTCGGGTAACAGTTTCCAAGAGCTGAAGATGCCACAGGTATTCGGAGTTCGACAACGCCTTAACCAGTAACACCTCCTTATATGAATCGTACCCGCCAAGTGAAATCATAAGAGAGGAGCCAGGAGGTTCGAAGATATATTTGATAGTCTATGAACAAATTGGGGATCGTCTGATCTAATCTGGCTGGCGATTGCAGGGGTTGTTGAGCACGGCGTTCCCACTCGTGACCTGGTGCGGATGCATAACTGAGCGCCTTCAGCTAGGTGAGTCCGTTAAAACTAATGTGGTCAGCACCCAATGCCGAAAACTAACAGAGCTATTTATTTTCAGGATTTATTTACCGCTACATATCTGGTACCGGAAGCAGTGGTTTCTACACCTTCAATTCATCCATTCAAGCAAACACTGGGCTCTTGAAGAAGTATACTAGAGAAGGAAAATTGTAGCCCGTTGGTATTTTGACCATACTGCACAAATCCGAAGGTTGAATGCTAATCAGCTAATCTGGAGGCCACCCGTCATTTGTCGAATGTTGTCGGTATTGCATAGTTTTGTTGGCGTCCCAATATTCTGTACATCAATATTAGATCTCCCCGTTGTCTGCGATAGGACAGAGTAAAGAGGTCCAGTTTTTCAAGCCGCTCTTTATATGATAAACCCCGGAGTTCCGGAATTGCACGCGTAGCTGCCCTCTGCACTTTTTCTAGTATGTCTGAGTCACCTTTTAAACAGGGGCTTGCAGCCTGAACACAGTTCTCTAACTTAGTTCTCACTAAGGATGTGTATAATGTGGTGAACGTGGTAGTATCAAACTTAGTGAATGTCCTTTTTAAAGCCCAGAGGGTTCGAAACCCCTTAAATGCGATTTCCGGCAATGAATCAACTAAAGGTGTGGACATCACTGCTTCGGGTTACAGTTAAATATCTGACAATATCCAATACGTAACAAAGACAGTCCCAAACAAATACTAATATTTGAAAACCGAAACGTCGACAAAACTATGCAATACCGTCAACATTCGACAAATGACGGGTGGCCTCCAGATTAGCTGATTAGCATTCAACCTTCGGATTTGTGCAGTATGGTCAAAATACCAACGGGCTACAATTTTCCTTCTCTAGTATACTTCTTCAAGAGCCCAGTGTTTGCTTGAATGGATGAATTGAAGGTGTAGAAACCACTGCTTCCGGTACCAGATATGTAGCGGTAAATAAATCCTGAAAATAAATAGCTCTGTTAGTTTTCGGCATTGGGTGCTGACCACATTAGTTTTAACGGACTCACCTAGCTGAAGGCGCTCAGTTATGCATCCGCACCAGGTCACGAGTGGGAACGCCGTGCTCAACAACCCCTGCAATCGCCAGCCAGATTAGATCAGACGATCCCCAATTTGTTCATAGACTATCAAATATATCTTCGAACCTCCTGGCTCCTCTCTTATGATTTCACTTGGCGGGTACGATTCATATAAGGAGGTGTTACTGGTTAAGGCGTTGTCGAACTCCGAATACCTGTGGCATCTTCAGCTCTTGGAAACTGTTACCCGAAGCAGTGATGTCCACACCTTTAGTTGATTCATTCAAAGGAAGACTAGACTCTTACAGAAGTAAACAACGAAACGAGTAACACAAGTCGTAGGCTTTTTGTATTTACTACACAAATCTGAAATCTGATGGCTGAATTTTAATCAGCTAATCTGAAGGCCACCTATCATTTTCCGAAGGTCGTTGGTATGTAGCAATATTAAAAAAGATTACATGTGACGTTACTAACGTGAGTCTGTCTTACTTAATGCGGGTCAGCAAATAGTAAATGTGCTGGAAGGAGCCCTACGTAGTCTGAGACTGCAGAGCTGTGAATAAAACTATTTTTTTAACAACAAAACTACAATAAAGTATGTATGAGGAAATGACAAGTCAGGAGTGGATTATGTCGAATCATGTACAGTGCCCAAAGCAATCAACGACAGAGGAACGAAGGGGATGTTTCGTTAAACATTGAGGGAGAAACAGTGAGGCAAAGCGTCGAAATGTCTTCTTTTTCATCCGCTCCTTTTTCCGTGTCGTCGGATTGGTTTTTAAGTTATGGCTTGATGGTGATTTCCAGTAAATACCATTTGTTCAGACTTTTTCATTAGTGGCATTTCCGCTATCTCAACTTTCTCAGTGCTTACTCATCTCTTATATCTACTGAATTACCTGATCTGAATATTTAACTAGAAATATGTGACCAGTTTATGACCTCTACTCAGGTTATTATTTTAAAGTACCTACAAATTTTGATTGGGATTGTAGCGGTAAATAAATCCCCAAACTAAATAGCTCAATAGGTTTTCGACATTGGATGCTGACCATATGTTTTAGTGGACTCATCTAGCTGAAGGCGCTCGGTCATGCATCCGCACCAGATCACGTGCTGTCACGCTGTGCTCAACAACAATCGCAATCACTAGCCAGATTAGATCAGAGATTCCCGATATATTGGTTATTGCCAAATACACTCTTCCGATCTCCTCGACTCTGTCTTTTGATTTCTCTCGGTGGGAACAAAGCATATTAGAAGGTGTTATTGGTAGAAGCGTTGTCAAACACTGAATACCTGTATCATCCTCAGGATATTTAGTGAAAGGCAGGTTTCCTATTTTATGAAATTTGAAGTGTGACTTTATGTCGTTGTTGTTAGTCAGTCAATGTCTGTTGATATATGTACGTCGTGTATGGAGCGATAGGACAATGTCATTTAGTCATAAGCTTTAGTAAAATAATATTTAAATTGTTTATAAGTTTGAGGTTCACTACACATATACACGGTATTGTCAAGTTATAAAAATGAGTTGGTTGTGAAGGATTTCTTCACAGGATCACGTTTTTCTTGTGACCTAATCTATGTTTCAGTTTCAGTTTCAGTTTGGGAAGGACAGGAGGCTCTATGGCCTATGTTAGTCCTGGCAATGGTGGTCTCTCAGTTGATCCAACTTTCTTTTGAAAGAGTCGACGGATGGAGCCTCGACCACGTGCTGAGGTAGTGAATTCCACTCGTTGATTATTCGATGGGAAAGTCGATAGTCAGCTGACAAGTAATTTGTTCTCGGCTTGTGAACTTTTTTGGAGTGTCCTCGTAAATTCTCTGTTTTGGAAGACAAGAAAAATGAGGGCATGTTAGGTGCAAATTTATCACTAAGCAATTTGTAGACTGTAATCAAGTCACCTCTAGTTCTGCGATAAGATAACGGGAAAAGGTTCAGCTTGGCCAGTCGAGATTCATACGGAAGCTTTGCTATTCCGGGAACCAGCTTAGTCGCCGTTCTCTGAACCTTTTCCAGAAGCTCACTGTCTTTTTTTAAGCAGGGGCTAGCCGCTTGTATGCAGTACTCAAGTTTAGGACGAACGAACACTGTATACAAAGTCAAAAACGTCTTAGCGTCGACATGACTAAAAGCCCTACGTATTGACCATAACGATCTAAAACTTTTGGCGACTATTGCACGGCAGTGTGCAGTAGTCTTTAAGTCTTGACTAACGATAACGCCTAAGTCATTATATGTCTGGACGACAGGTAGCTCAGTGTTATCCATCATGTATGTATTTGTGCCTTGATGACCGATATGCATCACAACACACTTGGAAGTATTTATCGGCAACTGCCATGTTTGAGACCATTCAGATAACTTCTTCAGGTCATTTTGAAGTTCTAAGCTATCACTCTTACATCGTATTGCTTTCCATATCTTGACATCGTCAGCATATAGCAAGACCGATGATGATAGGAGACAAGGAAGGTCATTTACATACAAGAGGAATAGCACTGGCCCCAAAACTGTACCCTGGGGCACTCCACTAAGCACAGTTTCCCAGCTAGATAACTTTGAGTTCACCCGAACTCTTTGTTGACGCCCAACTAAGAAGTCTTTTATCCATATCAATAAATTGCCTCCAATCCCGACTTTTCTTAACTTTATCAAAAGCTTTACTGAAATCAATGAAGGCGACGTCTACAGGTAGCTTTTGGTCCTTAAGAGCGCACCAGCTTTCACGAGCCACTAATAAGTTAGTGAGACAAGAATAACCTATTCTGAAGCCGTGCTGCTTCTCCGAGAGGATCCGGTTTTTATCGAGATACTTAAACAGCTCTTCCCTAATAATCTTTTCTAATATTTTAACAACCACACTAGTTAGGCTAACGGGGCGGTAGTTTTCAGGTTTGTGTTTCGTACCTGTTTTGAAGACAGGACTTACTATGGCGTTTTTCCAATCTTTCGGTAAGCGACCCTGCGTAACGGATAGGTTAAAGCATGTACTTAAAGGGCTTGCAACGAAATTAGATAATTCCTTTAGTAGCCTAGGATGTAATTCATCGGGCCCCGTGGATTTACCTATATCAAGCTTATTTAGCAGACCAAAGACATCGAGTTCTTTAATGGTCACGCTATCCAGTTTATGTGTGGGGGGATCTGTATACGCTGACAAGAAGGGCGCTTCTATGGTATACACGTTGCTAAAGTAGTTCGAGAACGCTTGAGCCTTACCAAAGTCGTCCTCCACTAATGATGAAGCAGTACTGTCTCCCCATAGAGCAGGAATATTTCCTTTTCTCCTTGTCCTTTGGTTTATATAGGAATACAAGCGTTTAGGACATTCTATGGATTCCTTTACAAGTTTTTCTTCGTACAATTTTCTAGACTTACGGAGGGTCGAGGCACAAGTGTTTCGAGCCTTTCGATACTGAGATTTTGCCTCGTCAGTCCCCAGTAACCTAAATCTATCCCACATCTTCCTTTTCTTACGGAGAAGAATACGGACCTCCCTACTGAACCATGGTGGAGAGTTTTTCGGTCCCTTTGGTATAGTCCAAGGGATGTGAGGTGTGGTAACTTTTAAGTATGAATTTCGAAATGCGTCCCAGGCCGTTTCAATGGAGGACTCTGGGTCTATTGTCCAATCTATTAACGATGCTGAGTGCATGATGGCTGGTATGTTTGCTTTCCAGACGTTGGGTCTGGACTGGACTGATGCGTCCTCATGACTGACAGTTATATGGAAGTCGAAAGTTAAAACTGCGTGGTCACTTTTACCTAAGGGTGGCAAATGTTGGAGGTTCGCAACATCATCCTCATAGTGAGTCAGTATAATATCTAATAAGGATGATTCAGTGTCCGGATCGTACCTTGTCGCTTCTTTCACATGTTGTACTAGAGCACATGTGATAATCCCATCAACTAGTTCCTGCTCGAAAGAATTCTCCGACGATTTAATTCGCAGATTTTCCCAGTCTACCATAGGTGCGTTAAAGTCCCCTAGGATTAGACATCGACCACTTTGGGACCAAGTATTGAGACTGCTTAATAGGATCTCATTTGCCTCACAGCTTGGACTGCGATAGACCAAACCAATCAGCAGCTCTTGTCCCTTGCATTTTAGGCGAAGACTAACTAATTCACACGTCCCACTCTCATGAGATACACTGTCGACAATGGTAAATGGGATAGCATTCCTAATGAATAGAGCTACTCCCCCTCCTTTGCGCTTGTGTGTTCTGTCGGCCCTTACTAACGTAAAGCCCTCGAAATCAAGTTCTATACTATCTATAGCCTGTGTCAGCCAGGTTTCTGTTACTGCGATTATGTCTGGCTTTGTAGAGTCAATCTGTACACCTAGTTCCGATCGCTTATTAAGTAAGCTTCGTGCATTGGTGTAACAGATCCGAAGCCTGTTTAAGTGCCTTCGTGTTTCACCCAGAGTGGCTTCGGCATCATTCTCTGTCGAAGTCTTACAACCCGAAAATTTACAATTTTCAGGTCTTTTTCGCCAGCGTCTAACCTATGTTGTAGTTCTTTCTCGGCTTCCCGTCTTTTAACACGGTCTGCCAACGGTAGGTCCTTTCGAATAAAGACTCCTGAGCCCTTTAATTTGTGCCCATTTTGTAAAATTTGGTCACGTTCGTTCGAAGAGCCGAATACTACTTTAAGCAGTCTGGAATGATTTGGTTTCGAGTCCGTTAGACTCCCTAGTCTGTACACCTTTAGCAAGGTGACCCCGGTCATATTTTGAGGCATGAGTTGATTGAGCAGCTGCCTAATCAGTACAATGTCATGCTCAAAACGAGCTTTAGGTTCAGAGCTATCGCTCTCCTTGATTCTATGGAAAATAGCTGATCTGTCGCTATGATCAGCTTTCGATTTTTCAACCACTTTTACGGGAGCAGGTTTCCCTTTTATATCCCTACTTCTCTTCCTCGCAACCTTTACCCATTCCTCAACGGTGCTGGTAGAAGCAATAACAGTTGCGTCAAACTCAGTGTTGGGTTTTGGGGGGTTGCCGACGACCTGATGGGTCGTGTTATGTTTACCGTTTGAAACCGATCGAGCCTTGCGATTGCGGCTTCTAGGTGTTTCCTGTTGGATCCCATCTGGGAGACGGGGAACAGAAGACCCTACTTTTCTTGAGCTTTTGTCTAAGGCAGGCCTCTTTAGAGACTGCTTTTCCTTCTTTGACAGGCTTGAGTCATCTATCATCGGACTAACCTTAGTTTCCTTCACGTTGATTTGCGTGTCGACAGATCGAGTGCTGCTTGACGCGTTCCGACTATGCTTGCTAAAGCACTTCTTTGCAGCATCAACCAGTGAGATGGCCTCGGTTAGCAAGCTGTTTGCATCCGAGCAGCACTGTTGACAAAGCCACAGACAACCCTTTTTACTGTACCGTTTGAAAGCAGCAGGCGTTAAGTTCGTGCAGACTTCGTGGTACCAGCCTTTGCACTCGTCGCACTGCATCCCGCTTTCAACAGGATAGCGACAACCGGGACGTTGACAACTACTTTTTTTACACTGTCCGGTCATTTAAGAGAGGTTCTTTTTTTAAACTGTGAGGATACTCAGAAACAAAAAAAAACAGTTATCAATGACCAAAAGTGAAGAGCGGTAGATTGCTAGGACCAAAAGTACTAACAGATACAGTTGAATAAGAGGTACTCAAGAGTACCAACGACAAAACAGTAAAAACGATACTTTAGTCAAATTCTTTAACTGAAATAAATTCAATTAAAGTGAAAACAGTAGTCTTGATACGTAATAAACGATCAAAACAAACAAATTTACTCAGCGAGGAAAAATACCACTGTCCTTTTTAAATAGCCTAATGTTGAGTATACCGTAAAATGTCACATATCTGCATAAGATCAGTCCCAATTGTTTACAGTCATTTATCAACGACTGATTATAGTGTTGATTTATAGAATGAGAAGGGACAATTCTCATTAGTCGTGTTTTCGTGCAATACCGACAACATTCGACAAATGACGGGTGGCCTCCAGATTAGCTGATTAGCATTCAACCTTCGGATTTGTGCAGTATGGTCAAAATACCAACGGGCTACAATTTTCCTTCTCTAGTATACTTCTTCAAGAGCCCAGTGTTTGCTTGAATGGATGAATTGAAGGTGTAGAAACCACTGCTTCCGGTACCAGATATGTAGCGGTAAATAAATCCTGAAAATAAATAGCTCTGTTAGTTTTCGGCATTGGGTGCTGACCACATTAGTTTTAACGGACTCACCTAGCTGAAGGCGCTCAGTTATGCATCCGCACCAGGTCACGAGTGGGAACGCCGTGCTCAACAACCCCTGCAATCGCCAGCCAGATTAGATCAGACGATCCCCAATTTGTTCATAGACTATCAAATATATCTTCGAACCTCCTGGCTCCTCTCTTATGATTTCACTTGGCGGGTACGATTCATATAAGGAGGTGTTACTGGTTAAGGCGTTGTCGAACTCCGAATACCTGTGGCATCTTCAGCTCTTGGAAACTGTTACCCGAAGCAGTGATGTCCACACCTTTAGTTGATTCATTCAAAGGAAGACTAGACTCTTACAGAAGTAAACAACGAAACGAGCAACACAAGTCGTAGGCTTTTTGTATTTACTACACAAATCTGAAATCTGATGGCTGAATTTTAATCAGCTAATCTGAAGGCCACCTATCATTTTCCGAAGGTCGTTGGTATGTAGCAATATTAAAAAAGGTTACATGTGACGTTACTAACGTGAGTCTGTCTTACTTAATGCGGGTCAGCAAATAGTAAATGTGCTGGAAGGAGCCCTACGTAGTCTGAGACTGCAGAGCTGTGAATAAAACTATTTTTTTAACAACAAAACTACAATAAAGTATGTATGAGGAAATGACAAGTCAGGAGTGGATTATGTCGAATCATGTACAGTGCCCAAAGCAATCAACGACAGAGGAACGAAGGGGATGTTTCGTTAAACATTGAGGGAGAAACAGTAAGGCAAAGCGTCGAAATGTCTTCTTTTTCATCCGCTCCTTTTTCCGTGTCGTCGGATTGGTTTTTAAGTTATGGCTTGATGGTGATTTCCAGTAAATACCATTTGTTCAGACTTTTTCATTAGTGGCATTTCCGCTATCTCAACTTTCTCAGTGCTTACTCATCTCTTATATCTACTGAATTACCTGATCTGAATATTTAACTAGAAATATGTGACCAGTTTATGACCTCTACTCAGGTTATTATTTTAAAGTACCTACAAATTTTGATTGGGATATTTAGTGAAAGGCAGGTTTCCTATTTTATGAAATTTGAAGTGTGACTTTATGTCGTTGTTGTTAGTCAGTCAATGTCTGTTGATATATGTACGTCGTGTATGGAGCGATAGGACAATGTCATTTAGTCATAAGCTTTAGTAAAATAATATTTAAATTGTTTATAAGTTTGAGGTTCACTACACATATACACGGTATTGTCAAGTTATAAAAATGAGTTGGTTGTGAAGGATTTCTTCACAGGATCACGTTTTTCTTGTGACCTAATCTATGTGCTTAAATTAATGTTGAGTATACCGTAAAATGTCACATATCTGCATAAGATCAGTCCCAATTGTTTACAGTCATTTATCAACGACTGATTATAGTGTTGATTTATAGAATGAGAAGGGACAATTCTCATTAATCGTGTTTTCGTCTTGACGTTTGATATGGAATTGTAATCACAACATATGCCTGCATCATAGATGAAATTCTCATGCTATATTTGGTACTCAGATGATAAAGAACATAACAGTTCCCCATGTACTTGTGTTCCTGCTTTGAGGATGGATTTAGTGATGAATATTAGAAAGTAATTCACTAAATGAAGATTCCTAACATTCATTTTAAACGAATTGTTAGTTGGATCAGTAATTAATATAGTTTGGGTAGTCACCATTCTTTGGTATCTTGTAATAAACCATTGGAAATTTCTACAAACCTTATCAATCCAAATATAGGAATAAACACACCCTTATAATCTCAATTTCGAACTTCCTTTGTAGATTATGGCTGAGAAAAATGAAGATTTGAAGAACTCACTAACAAATTTGGTTGATGATTTAGGGTACATTCTGTCCGATCGTTTACGAAATGTAGATGGCGATTTCGATTTCGAGTTGTCTCTCACTGTTTCATCTGATCTCGACACTCGGTTCATGCTGATGCTTGACAAGAATATGATGCCTGAATCTAACACGGACGATTCCATACCTGTTAAGAATGACTGGGTGAAGTTTGCCGCAACGGCCTCTGCATACGTCTACAAAAATGTTGGTGAATCGGTTTCCAAACCCCTTCGAAAATGGCTGGCGAATGCTGCCAGTGCTGCGATTCTCGCTGGACTGCTTGCAGAAGTGCCCGAGTCGTCGGATTCAAATGAACGATCTGCTTCTGATGGAGAAACACCTGTCGAACATGTCTCCACACCTGATAGAGTAGTTGAGCATCGTCAAGATGGCGCCTGGTACTATGGCCGTTGGACCGTTGACAATGTTGCCAGAAGTTGTGAATTGATGGATGTGATCGATGTTGAAATGACAGATGCATGTATTCGAGTGATGATTGCTGCTGTTGTTAATTACTTCCAGGAGAACAGATTCGCACCGTGTGGTTTGTTGAGAGACAGTTATGCAAGTGCGATACTGAGAAGTGATCTAATGGATAGGTATGGGTTAACAGACGAACATGATAAAATTGAAGCGATGCGTATCACTGGTAGTTGGGTCTCAAATCTGTATGTGTTTCACATGGCGACGAAGCATCGTGATTTGGAACACACAATCAGACCTATAAATAATGTTGGTTTAGTGCGTCCTCTGAAACTAGATATCAGTCAGTGTTTCGAAGACTTGACAGCTAGGTTTATCCGTACACGAATCGCACATGAGATTGCCAGTCGAATGGTGCGATCTGTGTGTATAGTGTTTTTCGAAGATTTGAATGAATTGATTGAGTTGCGGAAGCTGTACCGTCAAATATCCAGTGATCCATTTTATTATCACACTGACTGTGAGTATTTGACGAAATCTTCTCGGCCGTCAGTCAGTGACAAGATGAGCAGTATATTTGGTCGATTGGTCACCTATTTGAGTGTTTTTGAGCCGAATAGTGAACTGTTTGATTATCCGCAGTTGAAGATGAGTGGCAGAACTCGAGAACAACACTATGTTGATTATAGTAAGAACTGGAAGAAGATACTGGAGACGATTTATACAGAGTTGTATATGCCAAGTGGAAGTCATTTATTGGATGTACTTAGAAGTAGATGCAAGATTGCAGAAAATATTCCACAAAATGAAGAACTTTTGAGAGAATGTTGGAATGAATATGGTGTCGGTTGGAATATTTCGGAGTTTATTTTCCGATATTCACTTAATCGTTAGATATTTTGTTTGTTCATTGACAACTCAAGATGAAAATTTTGTTATTAACAAATTGCAATATTATTCCTCTTATTCATAAACTTTGCTTTTTCATCAGTGATGTTGCTATATGTTTTCACTGTGGATTTGTTAACATATAGGTAATTGTTACAAGCACCTTCCATATAAGTGAACTAAAATTCAGATGATTTCAGTATTATCGATTCGAGTTTCTGAAAACCTAATTAATGGTAAACTCACTGTTACTTTAAATCTGTCATTACATTTGATTGTTTGCGTTGGTTTATCCATACTGTTGTGTAAGTGTAATTGTGCACACCACATTCAAGTTGCTTAAATCAACTGGGACAGTGTATGACATAGCAAATCAAATCAATCATGAGGTTTAAACAAATAGTTAGTCACTGATGTGAAGTGGTGAGTGGGATGATAATAGCAAGACTAATCTAATTTTAGTATGGTATATATTCGGTTGTCCTCACATGTGTTCTCCTTCACTACAGTATCACAGCCACCACACAAATCAAATGATCATTTACAAATTCTTTAAAAGTGAGTAATAAGTCTGTCAGAATTGCGGATAGTAATTTTGAGTTTTTACACGAAATTCCATAATGAATGACTCATCATCAGGAATATCGTTGTATGATGATGTTGTGAATGTTTAAAATTATTAGAAGATTAATCTTTTCTAGAATAAAACTTATAGTGAGAAGATGACGAATGGGGTGAAGAATCATTTCTTTTCAATTGGTTTCCCATCATGGCTCTACATAAATATGTGTAGATATAGTCTAGTGGTTAAGCGCTCGCATGCGAGACGAGCATGTTCTGGTGTACGGATTTCTCGAGGCAGGGTCGTGGATGCGTACAGCTGAGGAGTTCCACAATAGGACGAAACGGCTACCCGGTGCTTCCAGGTTTCGCATGATGGTCTAGCTTCAATTGACTCATGATCTTAACCATTGAAATTACTATTAAGAGTTATGATGAAAGCAACTATTTATTTATTCATTTCTTAACGTACTTTGTTTGAATTTCGGTTTGTTTGTAGACGACAATGTCGAATGTTCATATAGTTTTAAATGTAAGTTTTATATAACACAATAAGCAATATGTTACTTTAACCAAATGACTTTGTTTGTAACAAATTTGTGAAGAAATCACATTGTCGGTGATTCACTGAATAAAAGTTGAGTTGACTAAATGGAAGTGTTGTTATATGGGTAACGATTTCAATACATCTCATTTGAAAATCAATATAACGAGAAGACTTGTTATTAGAATTATTGATTCATTTGTAATTCAGTGATGTATATGAGATTGAGATACCGTTATTGGATTTCTAAGTTAAACTATCTAAGTGATTAAGGTAATGAGAAGAAAGTTATTTCATAGTTCTATTCTTTTGCTTCATGATATCTAAGCGAGAATTTCGGTTGTATTCAAAAATCAGTGTTAAAATTGTTAAGTGCTCATTTTTGCGTAGTACATAAGTGAATTAAGGATGCACTTAACTTAAATGACTTACTGCATTAGGCCTGCTAACCCTCGTGGAGGAGAATGGGTCGCCAATCAGCATTCTTCATCAAACTCTGTTTTGGAGAATCCTCTTCACTTGTGTCCATTTGCTATTCATCATTCTGATGTCTTTCCAATCCTCAACGTAGTGTGTTCTTTAGTTTTTCTCTTTTCCGTTTCCCTTCAGCATTTCAAGTTAGTGCTTGACTCGTGATGCAGTTTGATGATTTCCTCAATATGTGTCCTATTCACCTCCAATATCTTTTCCCGATTTCTACTTCAGGTGGAGATCGAGTTTGTTCTCTCCCACAATAGGTTATTGGTGATGGTATCCAGTGAACGGATCTGGAATATGTTGTGTAGAAATATGTCTATCAATACCTGTATCTTTCTGATGATGGATGTGGTAGTTGTGCAATTTCAGATCCATACAATAGAACTGTTTTGATGTTTGTGTTGAAAACTGTGACTTGATTGTTGGCTGAGGGTTGTTTTGATAGAAAGCAGGCTTGTCTGACACCACTCTTTACTTGTTATGCACATGTCAGTTGCCCTTTATGCATGACGTCACAGTGTAATCTGTGGTAAGAATGCTGTATGACGTTGATGTTTTTCTTGGGTACTCCATGATGTCGAACATTGTTCCATGAGTTTCTTCTTTCTATACTGTCAAATGCTTTCTCACATTCGAGGAAGTTGATGTATAGTGACGAATTTCATCCGATGTTTTGCTCAATGATGATCCGTAGTATAGCTTTTCGTCTATGCACGACCGATCCTTACAGAGTCCAAACAGTTGATCTCGAAATTGTTTGTCTGTAGAGTCCTTCATCCCGTTCAGTAACACTGTTGATTCCTCTATAGTTCACACGTTTGCACAGATCATCTTTCTTCTGTATCTCGATGAGATATTCTTCTTTCCATTTTGTCAGTGGCACTTGTGCTCCATCCGAAATCTTGCTGAATAGAGTATAGAACATGTTAGCATTTGCTTCTATGAGTGACTTTAGTGCTTCAGTTGGTCTATTGTTAGATCTTACTGCTTCCCCACTGTTCATTTGCCTGATGACCACCCTGGTTTGTTCGGCCGTTGGTGGAGTGACATCTATGGGTATGTCTGTGTGTGCATTTGTGGGTGAATATTGTGCCGCATGTAACCAAGTTGTTGAATGCATATATGTTCTCGAATCTCTCCCCATTTTCGTTTCCCTCTCCTAGTCCATGTCGTCCCATGATACCTTCATATCGAATCTCCCGCTTTGCTCTTGTTATCTAATCCTGGTAATTTTACATTATAACCAATGTAATTTGGGGACGAAAACTCCAATTCAGTGTACTATCATGACTTTTAATGTGCACACTTAACATTTCTTCTATATTACAATGCATAATTTGGCATGTGGGAGTTAATTATTCAAATGAACTCTTTATTTCCACTGTCATTTCATCGCTTTTTATTGTTAATTAATTTGTAACTACACAGCGTTTCCCGATTGACTGATAATCCCCCTAATGTCATCAGTATATTATACTTTTAAAAACACGAATTTCAACGAAGAGATCTCTTATCAGCGAATTTATTATCAACCTGTACAATCGTATATATATGAAAGTAATAGTTCCATCAAGACATGTGAACAAGGGATAACCAAGATGATGTGAGAGAAAGATTATGATACTAGGTTACGTAATACGAATAGTATCAGTAGACTTAATAAGTTAGCAACGAATTTAACGTGAATGTAGGACGATGAGTAAAATGGACGGTGGCTCAATTTTCTGGACTGATTGAAGTTGGACATTCACATCGTTAGATTCCTGCTCAGTGGTCTAGAGGTTAAGCATCTGCGCGAAACCAATAGGACTTGGGTTCGAATCTCGCGAGGCCGGATGGTGGCTGCACACTGCTGAGGAGTCACACAATAGGACGAAACGAACATTCACTGCTTCCAGGTTTCTCATGATGGTCTAGTTTCAATTAACTCATGAATTCAACTTTAAAATTAATAAAATATCCACAAAACCCCTTCTGATTAAAATGTTTTTTTTTCCTTGATGGGTTGTCTTCAGATTCCTTAGCTTTGTATCTCTACAGTATAAACGAAACTTGATCGAAACCCATAGTTACCGAATATGCACTAAATTTTCTGCGGATATAGTTGAAGTTGAGCTTAACCCCTGGCACCGAGGCTAAAAGATGAATTACCTAGAATGACCACCACGTTTTGTATTTATCATTTCGACTGCTCCTGTGAAGTGAGTTATACTCGTCGAAGTTCTAGAGATTCACATCTTCGTGCTCGTGAACACCTCTCAGCGTGGCTAAACAAAGATTTGATGAAGAAAAAGAGAATTTAGCGAAGAAAAATTTCTTTTCGACGATCGCTTTACAAACGCATCTCAGAAAGCTATCCGGCTTAGCTTTTAAAGGGAGAATGTAAAACAACTAGTAGTTCTATAAAGGAGCATTTAATCAACTGTAAGCACATCGCTCCGAGGAATTCTTATATTAAAGTAACCTACAGAGTCAAAGAAATTGGATTGAAGGGATGTCGACTCAATATTTTATGCACTGCTGGGGCATTGACAATCCGCGAACTCAAGCCTGAACTTTGTGTGCAGAAACGATTCGTCCAACCTTTCATCCTTCCTTGGCCGTAATTCCGTTTATTGACATTTTTCGAGCTGTTTTTTCTTTCTTCTTCACTTTTATTTGATTATTATTGATTTTTTAAATTAGTGTTTAGTAATTTTAAACTATAATCAGTTATATGCGAAGATGGGTAGTGGCTAGTAGTAGAATCCAGAACGCGCGTTTCCTCCTATTTGAAACTCGTCATCTGGACGTGCCTGCATCCCAGAGTTGATGTCCACTCTGGGACTCGAACTCAGTACTGTTCGCTACCAACGCGATCGCGTTATCCACTTAGCTACTGAGTCCTGATCGAATGCAGTCGTAAACATCAATGGGAATATTCAAACAAACAATACCAACTGGATTTTAACTTCACCGCATTGTATATGCAGGTGGCTATCAGGACTCAGTAGCTAAGTGGATACATGCGTTTTAGAACTTGAAGATAATTTGTCGAAAGAATATTCTTCGTTCAAACATTTAGTCTCTTAATATGATGGGGATGTTTAAGTTGATGCACACTGCTGAGGAGTCCCTTAATAGGATGAAACAAACGTCCATTGCTTCCAGGTTTTCAATGGTGGTCTAATATCAATCAGTTCATGATCTCAATCTAAAATGTCTTTGTAACACTATTTAAAGGTCATAGTGATGGAAATAATGAGAATATGAAACATTAAGTAAAACAACAAATACAATAATCATAATTATAATAAAGGTCAAAGTAATAATAACGATAAGACGTACTTATGTCTCATATTTTCATTATTTATAATTGCTCATGATATCATCAGTATGACCTTTCATTCCCACTAGTTAATGAGACAAAACCATTTTAATCATCTTAATACATTCACATGTGATAATTCGTTACTAACTCATTAAGTCTATTAGTTATTGTTATAATTCGTATTACATAATCT